CTGTCGAGTCCCAACTCTTGGAAAGTGCTGAGATACATGACGTTGACAGAACTCCCTGTGTCAACATAAGTCCGGAGGATGATGGCGTCATTGATCTCAGTGCGGATGACGAGGGCATCTCTATGCGGCAGAGAACCCGAGGGGAGGTCCGCATCTGTGAAGAAGATGGGTTCCCCCCTCGGTCTCTTAGTTGGGGGCATGTGATTGACTTCCCCAATGTAGAGGGACTGTGCCCACTTCTTCCTTTGGCTTGTTGAATCGCCTCCGGTGTTGCCGCCGTTGATCATATGAATATGGCGCTTGTATTGTTGATGGGAGCCCTCTCCCTCATCATCGAGGCCCCCAATTTCTCGCTTCTTCCCTTGTGGGTTTCCCAAGGGGATGGTGTTGGGGTTCACCCACTTGTTGGCCTTCGGCGGAGGCCCTTGATGGTGAAGGGGGCCCTGGGGAGGAGGGCCCCTGATAAACTGAGACAAGTGGCCCGCCTGTATCAGCCTCTCAATTGCGTTCTTCAGCTGATGGCAGTCGTCGGTTTTGTGTCCATGGTGGCGGTGAAAGCGGCAATAGGGCTCATCAGGGCCGATGGCATAAATCTCGAGGGGTGTACGGGAGTCTCGCTCAACGAGCCCTCGCTCTTCTGCGTGATCCAGAATGACGCTGACGGGATGCGTCAGGGGAGTGCGTGGGTGCTCGAGGAGGACGGGTTGCGCCCATGCCTTCGGATTGTTCTTGTAACCGCCCCCAGGTCTGGCTTGGCCGCCTCGGGAGCGATCGTTGTATTGGGCCTCTCGGTTGGCCGGAGGGGGAGGTCCTCCGGGCCGATTCCTGCTTTCATTCTTCTGAGAAGGATCCGTGTTGCGGCGGTCCTTCTCGATTTCCTCCGCTTCAGCATATCGGTCCCCCCGCTGAAGGGCCTTTGTATAATCGCGGGGGGATCAGTGATAAGGCTCCGGGAGAAGTTACCGTTGCGGAGGACGGTGTGGAAGAGGGCCATTAGTGTCCTGTCATCAGCGCCTTCGACCTCGAGGGAGAGCTGCCTCCAGCGTTCCAGGAAACTCCGAAGGGTTTCCTCCTTCTGTTGTCTCACGTTTAGGAGGTGGGAGAAGTGCTTCTTTGAGCGATGCCTCCCAGCAAATTGCGTAAGGAAGCGGTGGGCAAGTTCTTGCCAAGAATCAATGCTGCCTTCGGGCAACCGGTTGAACGACTCATACGCGGGTCCCTCCAAGGTGGAAAGGAACCAACGGCATAAGTATTCATCCGAGGCCCCCATCATCATCATGCTATTTTGATAGCGGCTATAGTGCTCTTGGGGATCCGTCTTCCCCTCATACGGCTTGATAGGTTGCCCCCGGTATTTTTGGGGAATCTTGGCCGCCAGCACCCTTGGGGTGAAGGGTGTTCTGGTGCGGAGTTGGATGAGGGGCTCGCCTGAGCCTTCGGCAAGCTTACGCTTCATTTCCTCCACTTGTGCCCGGAGGTCGGCGTACTCTGGATCTGGCCTCGCTGTGGAAGCCGTCGGGGGTGCCTGACGGTTCTCCTCGAGTTGACGGAGGAGGGCTTCAATGATTTCGTCCTTGGGATCCTTCGGGGCAACCCCTTGGGAGTTGGCCCGGAAGGATTGCGCCTGTGTGATTTGGTGCCTGGCATCATCGGCGTGGAGGAGGGCTTTGCCTCTGCTTCGGGGGGGAGGCACGCCCTCGGCACCCAAAGCGGAGGCTCCACTTTCCTGGGGCCTGCTGAGTGCTTGTTTACCGAGGCGGTCTTGGACCCCTCGGTGCCCGGGAGCTCCCCCTAGCCTCTCAAGTGCAGAGGTTCGGGGTTTCTCCTTCATCACGGGGCGTTTGTCCTTGGATTGGGCCTCTTGGGAGGCGGTATCCTGTGCTATGACCCCCTCGGCATTGCCAACCCCCGGGGGAGGGTTGTTGAACAAAGGAGGGAGTGGCGGTAGGTTGATAACATTCCCTCCAGCATAGGGCTGAAGGGGTGTCTGGGAGACGAGGGCTCCGGAGTTGAGAGCCATGTTTTGAACAAAGGCCGCAAAGGCTGCCTGAAGATCGATGGCCGGGGCCGGAGGGGGAACTTGGTTCTCACTCTGATCCCTCCTTCGATTATCAAGGCCAATGCGGGCATCAGGGGCGTTCTTCTGTAGCTGCTAACGGAGGTCAGCGGTAGCCTGCTCCAATTCGAGGATGATACCACCCTCAGGCACTAAGAGCCTGTTGGAGGCCTCAGCCCCGTTGGTTTCGCCGGGGGCTGCGTGGTTTTCCTCTAGGGTTTTGGACTGGGCACGAGTGGTTCTTCCCATTTTTGGTAGGTGTTCTGTATTTGGTAGAGGGGGAGGGTTTCTTACTTGATAGTTCAGACCTCTCAACGAGAGCACCAAATGATGGATAGTCTACCCGGGGGGTATCTTATCCGAGGGGTTATTACGGGAATAACTAGAGAGAAGTCAGAGTAAATAGGAGGAGAGAGAGTCGATTTTATTAAATGAACTCAGCGTGTGGAGTTGAGATGTAGATGTCTTTTTTACAAGGAGAAATGGGCTGCTATTTATAGCAGCAATAAATGCGATGAGAGGACACGTGTCAGTAATCCAACGGCCGAAGGGTCACATCAACCGGTTGGCACCGGCAGTGGTACGTTTACCGCATTGAATGCGGTTGGCGGATGTGACGTGGCATTAAATGCGGTGGTTGGCTGTCTCTAAAAGGAATCTCCGATGATTGAGCGTGTTTGGCCGAAGGCTCCTTGTGTAGCCGAGGGCTCCATGTAATCGAGGACCCCTGTGCGGCCGAAGGCATGGTGTGATAGTGCCGAAGGCTCCTTGGTTCAGCCGAAGGCTTCTCCGATGCCGAGGGCTTGATAGTGCCGAAGGCTCATGTTTTTCGCCGTTTTCTCCCAGTAGCTTCTTATGCCAGAGAGGCTATCCTGTGAGTTCTAGAGCCTTCGGCCAAGGAGGCCGAAGGCCCCCCAGTGTGTATTCTGGGCTACTTTGAGGCTTGGGCCGTTGTATTTGGGCCTGAGTTGTTTCCTGAGCTCAATGGACTTGTGTAGGAGAAGTAGGAGTCTATGGGTCGGGGGTTCCTGGGCCATATACTCCATCAAAGAGTTTTATAGACGAAAACGTGACTAAAAATATTATGATTACAGATTTATAATCAATATACTGTTCATAGTATAAAACATTAAAACTGAACATCAATAGTCATTAAAAGTTACTATGTTAACACATTTGTTCACTACCTTATTTTGATCATATATTAGGTACTATTTCCTACATATTTTCTCATATACTTATTCAAAATTAAAAGTCAAGCGCTTTAAGCATGACCAAGGATTGGTGTTAGCCTAAAGATATTTTTATTTGGATTGAAATTTTTTGTGTGTTTTATATCTATCGAAGTATAATCTAGTCTGGAACTGAAACAAATTCAATTAAAAACATCCTAAATGTCAAATATGGTGCCTATTTCATTACAATAAAATTTGTTTATGGAGGGAAAATGGTTACTTTTAATCATACGGAGTAAAAATAATCAATAAATTTTAGAGTACGTTTGTTATATATTACCTCCTCCCAATTTGATTTGTAAAAATTGAATAACACAAAAATTAAAGAAGATAATGATTTAATGTGGTTTTATAAACTAGAGAAGCATTTATATAAACGGAAAACAGTAAAAATAAAATAAGTTTATCGCTTTATTCATCTTTTCATATCTAAAATTAATAGTGGAATTTTTTTTGGGACAACCAAAATAGAAAATTGGAATGCCAACTTTTCATGATTACATCCTCATTTTTAATAATTAAATGCTTATTCGTAAGAGCGGTCATCTCCCTAGTTTTCTAGGGTTAGTGTTTGCTGCGCCGTTTTTCTGCTTCGACCGACGAGGAGAGAACTCCGCTTCTGCGCCGTTTCTTCGGATAGGAGTTTTTGGCGAAGTGAGGGAAGTAGGTCTTTGTTCATCTTTGTTCAGAGTTTTTGGTGGCCGGCCGGTGATTGCTTGAAGAAGGAAGGGAGATGGAGGAAATTGCTAACAAATACAAGGATATGGCTATCGGGGGATCAAGAGGAAGAACTGATTTTCGAGGAGGAGCCGTTTGAGGAGGAAGGAGGCTCGATCGCGGGAGACGTTTTTCCGGTAGTGGGGACTGTGATCACAGATAGGATGGTGAAATTCCCAGTTCTTCGAGATCTCATGGCCTCAATCTGGAGGCCAGGTAAAGGTATTTCAATAAAGAAGATCGGTGAAAAGAGGTATATGTTTACTTTCTATCATTATATTGATATGGAGCGTGTACTTGAAGGTGGACCGTGGATTTTTTAGCAGAATTCGTTGATTCTTCAGGCACTGAAGCCTGGGGATGTTCCTCTCCGTGTACCTCTGAATGAGGCTGAGTTTTGGGTTCAGGTTCACGATATTCTTTATGATTTTATGAATTTGGGAGTTGCTAGGAGAGTTGGGAATTATATTGGAAAATTTATCAGTTTTGATAATAATCAGTTTGATAAAAATTGGAAGCCCTATATGAGGATTAGGGTTTGTTTGGATGTGGGGAAGCCTCTAAAGGTGGGAACCACTCTCAAGAAGGGCCAAGGTGAAGGGCACTGGGTTGACTTTAAATATGAGAAGTTTCCTAGCTTTTGTTTTTTATGTGATGTTATAGGACATGCTGACAAATTTTGTCTCATGGTTTATGAGAATGAATCTGTAGATACCAATAGGCGGTATGGGGTCGGCCTACGTGCAGGAGGAGGGGGGAAGCTCGAAGCTCGCATGATGGGGGGAAACAAATGGCTAGTTCCAGAAGAATCAAGGGATGAAAGCAAGGCGGAACGAGAGGATGGTATTAGTTGAGAACCAAAACGTAGGAGTACATGTGATATTTCTTTAACTAGGAGGATGGTATTAGTTGAGAGCCAAAACGTAGGAGTACATGTGATATTTCTTTAACTAGGAATACTATTGATGTTTCCATTATCATTTGTGTCTCTTGTTGAATGTTTTATTATCAATATAAGTCTCCCTTTAAAAAAACACTTTTCATGATTACAAATAACACAGTAATGTACACAAGAATTGGTTATTCCGAGCCAAACCCAAACCACAGTGAAATCTGGAAGAACTTGAACAACCGATCCTACTCAACTTCCCGTTGAGGTTCTTAACTTTTCTGGCCAAAATGAGGTAGCCTCCTAGGTATACTAATCCATGAATCATCCAAGTTCCTAAAATCAAAGTATAGAAAACCTACTAATTTATAATTCATTTATATACAATTATGTTCTGAAACAAACAGAACACCATAGTACGTGAAATGATCACAAAAACCAGAACATCTCAACAGCAGCATATCAACCCAGCACAGGTCAATAATGCCTAACTTAGCTTCAGGCTTCAGCAGCTGTAATTCTAACTAAGCCACCCCATTCTAGAAGCATAAAAGCACCAGCTTATCATTCATTGTTCATGAGAATGAAGGCTGTTAAAACTGGTTTACATCATGAAACTATTTACAGATATAGGGCAGCCCCTCATCGAATGTGAGGGCGATAGGGAGCGAACTGAGGTTCTGGAATGATGACAGGTAACTTCTCGATGTACCTATACAGCCTCTGCCAGTCCTCTTTCAGAATTAGAGGTAATTCAACAGCTTCACTTTTCTCCACACATACCCAAAGGTCACCTGAACTTACTCGTCTAAGACTGCTTCTACAGAAAGGGCATGACTGAGACCTGCTACGCCTGAAGAAACGAGCAAATTCGTTATGTCACAACTAACATAATATGTTCAATGAAAGACTGGAGCATTAGGCTGTGTTTGTTTCCCAGAAAATGCTAGGGAGAGAAATTAATAAAAATACAAAGGGTAATTATTTTGAAATAATGAAAATATACGACCAAAATAAAAAATAATGAACAAAAATTTGAATTTACAAGAGGTCCAATTTTTGCAGTAAGTGTAGTAATAAATATGATCTTCCATTTTACTATGTAGTAACTAGGATGGTACTTTAACGGTGAATAACTGAATATGGTACGGAGTATTATAAAGAAACACCTAATTATTTTTGTTATGTTCGTTTTTTTCCCATGAAAATGCAAAGAAAACTAAAATATGATAAAGAAAAACTTAAAATGGTAATAGACTTATTAAATAAAAAGATTTTAAACAGACACATAAAATTGGTTTATTGTGTATTTGTGTCCAAAGCAATTTTTAGTTTCTCACAATTTCCTCGGTCCTCACAGAGTCTCAGTTTTCTAACTCTGGCATTAGATACGATCCAAATGGCCTCCCTACACACTAGATTTTTACAAGTTGTTTTTCCAACTTGAATCCACTTCTACCAGAGTACCAAAGCTTTAATTGAGTGGCATCAAGTTTACTTGGCATTGTACAGTTGCAAATGTAGGTGCAGAAAGCATAAAAGACATGGCAAGGGTGCAGGACTTACCAGTCCTGGTAGCAGCTTAAACATAAGGAATGCCTGCAATCTGGCAACACAACTTTGCTATTGGGTTCCAAACAGATCCCACATTCTGCTTCTCTCTCTAATTCAACCTCGGAAAGCTTCCCTTTGCTTGAGTACCGGAGGGAACATATTTCTTTCTGCTTGATTTCTTCAAAATCAGTAATCCCTCTTAGGATTTGCAATGAGGGGAAAATGATTTCTGCAGAAACAAGGGGTCATCTGTAAAGACAAAATGCAGCAAGGGAATTATCTATTCTCCACCACCTTGTAATAACTGACTCACCATAAAAGTCCCTTATGCTTGCTCTCCTTTCTTTGATATACATGGAGGTTTTGCCATCAGCATACGCCTGCAACATAAAAAAGAATCCCATTCTATAATTGCTGCTAGATTTTCTAACAAATAGAGATGTTTTTAAGAAACGTTAGATGCCAAGGGTACAGTTGGATTCCCGACTACGATACAGAAGAGGGACGAAAACTGCTCGCAAAGCTGTTTTGTTGTGTATGGTTTTACTTTAAAAATTCCGAGGAAAAGGAAATATTATTTGTGTGTATGTGTACGCTTGTGTATAAAAATTTACCTGCATTTATCTTTCTTAGCATTTATAAAACAGACATGAATAAATGAATTGAATGAGTATCAAGTTATCAACAAGTTTCCAAAATAAACTTATTGAGTTTTATTTCTTTCCAATCACCCTCTACGTTTTCCTTCATATTTTGTTTCCATAACATTTCCGGGATCCAAAGAACTCTTAAATGTACGGCTAAGAGAAATATAGTGCCCAGACAGATTTTTTTTTGGAACAAGTGATAAGAGCGCCAAAATCACAAGAGACTCACCATATACACAAGAACTTGAAGCAGGCCAAGTGCACCAGCAACCTTACAATCAAACCACTGGATGAAAAAAAGGCAGAACTGTGCAGCTGGGCTGTATGACAGTCTCATTTGGATGCAAGCTCCATCTATTTCTCTGCCATAGCCTAATGCCCTGATGCAAAGAAGGAAATGAGAAAATTATTTCGCAAAACAAATAAAGCTGATAGTAGAATATATAACACCAAATTACCTCCTCGAGATCGAGTTCCTATTTACCCTAGAAAGTGTTCTTTTTCCCATGATAGATGTATACTAAATGTACATACGTTCTTATAGCGCCAAACACGCTGTATACTAACAATAAATATTTATAGCACCAAACAAGCTGTATACTAACAACAAAGATATCTTTGTAGAGTTTCTAGATACATTCTTGCGTGGCAAGCATTGATTAGGTAACCAAATGTTAGTTTACTTTTCATTACACAATACATTCATGCCACATAACTAGATAAGAATGTAGCTAAATAATGTGTAAAATAAATGTTTGTCTATCCTTACTCTATACTAATGGTTACTGCTATTTTATATTGTCAAGAAATGAAAATCTCATATTACATTGAAGCTCAATTTTGTTACAACTCTGGATTTTATGATAAGCCAATCTACTCAAGGACATACACATAATCCTCTTCTTTTCACCAAAGCATCTCAGCACCTATCTAGTGGACCAAAAGAACTAGCAAATCATTACCGTACTATCTATTCCAGCCAGTAGCATTGCCAGTACCTCAAAAATCACTCATATAAAATTTTACACAAAATATGTATATATTACATCTGAATTCTTATTTTTGCGAGACAGGGGTAGACCCAAGCCCGGTTGGCCATTCTTTAGCAGATTAGCACTTTAGCTACACCCCCGATTCCAGCTAAAATGGTCGTCCAAGCCTTCTAGAGCTTTCTGTCCAAGCCTGAGTGCATCCTTTAGTAAACATATACGGAGTAATTCTTTTTTATCAGTCCAAAAAAATTGAATACCAAGTTTTCGATTTTATCCTTTATCTATTTTTTTTTATAGCTATATACTTTCTATATACTCGTATCAATTCATCTTTTCTTTTAGAAGGTACGGAGTACTATTTATTGGACAAAAAGAAACATACATACAAATTTGCTAAGAACAAGAACAACTATGCCTGTTACTCTTGGAAAGCAGAATATGTCACCAAACAGCTGAACAGAGCATGTCTGAGTTTATTTATTTCAAGTTACGGTATAAATTTCAAAAAAGCTTCAGATTATACACCAATAGTCCACAAAACAAACAATAAGCTTAATATTTACAGTTTTTACCAAACGGATTACAAAAACCAGAGAGTTGAGGGGAGTTACATAGTGTTGGCGAGCTGAATATCAGCTTCCAGAGACTTGAGTGAATCCTTGAACGATCTCCCCATCGATTCTCTAAACCGTCCCAGCAAAGATGATCAAACCCCAATAATTCTCATTCAACAACTGATATAATAAACATAAGCCTTCCGATTCCCGTGAGAAATATCTTCAACTCCACGTCTCTCCGATCGCCTGATCAACCAACCACAACCTACTTTCCAGAATTCTCACTCTACTTTCTTAAATACCCAGAAAAATAAAATCTTTCCCCTTTTTCATTTATTTTCAGATAAAAAATTTGGAATTCATTTATTCATCAAAAATGCTTGAGGTACACACTTTGTGTACACACTTTGTGTACACTCGTCTGTCTCTTAAGAAAATTTTGTCTGTCACAGACAACTCATATATGAATTGTCTGTGACAGACAAAATTTTCTTAAGAGACAGACGAGTGTACACAAAGTGTGTACACAAAGTGTGTACCTCTAGCATTTCTCTTTATTCATTGCGGCCTTATCCATTATAGATAACCGTAGCAGAGGGTCACGATAGGATGCGACGCGGGTCATTTTCAACTACAATGGACCCACCAAAAACTCCACCAGCTGGGGGCATTTCGGGCATTCCAAAAAGAAATCGATTGACGTGGCGACGTCTAATTGGGTATGTAGTAGGGGTTGAGAAAGCGTGGTTTTAGCCGAAAGAAACGTAAAACCGGGGAAGAAAATGGGAGTTGCTGGTTTGGAAATTGAGCAGGCCCACTGGAGTGATGGTTTAGGAAGTTAAGTGTCAATTGAAAAGGACATACCCAACTTGGGATCAGAAAGGACTGCTTAACCCACCTTAGATTTGGAATTATTTCAATTGAATTAAAAACTAGTCTTCTCAAACAGATTTTGCATAGTATTAGTATGATCTTGTACGGTAAGATTGAAATTGAGGGCAATTTGTTGGAATTGATTTTTTTGTATTTGGATAAACCGTAAATTTATACTCCCTCCGTCCCCGAAAGAAGTTTCCCATTTGACTTTCACACACTTTTATGCAAGTAAACTTACCAGGGAGTAAATTTTACTGTTTTGACACTGTTTCGACACTATTTGGCACTGTTTTGCATTGTTTGGCACTGTTTTGATGTAGATAACTTTCCATTTGAGGAAATGGGAACTTAAATTAGGGACATCCAAATAAGGAAAGTGAGAACTTCTTTCGGGGATGGAGGGAGTATATAAAGAACACCATTACACAAACAAAGGGCATACCCCTGATAGCAGCTAGCATTCTACCTTCCACATCTTACAATCACTGAACAATAAAATAAATCAACAGCAAACCTCAAAGCCCAGTTAAGCACCATACTCTCAAGTGGACAAATCAACAAAACTTTCCCAAATTAACCCAATTAGCAGATCATATTTTCTGTCAAAACACAATCATATCATGGGGATATAGTTTATACAGAATCTTATAACACACAATCTTGATTTGTTTAATTATCTCATCTGGATCTGTTATGGCACCTGCAAAAACACCATTTCTTGCTTTCCAGATTGGGTAAACAGAGCAACTCAAAGCAATCCTTATTGCTTTACTCATCAGCCGTGCACCTCTAAATTCCTTTCTAATGTACTTTACTGCCCGGTTTAGAGAAGATAATGGTCTCCTTAATCCCAGCCACCTACAAATGGTCCTCCATATATAACCAGAGACGGGGCAGTTGAAAAAAAGGTGTTCCACTGTCTCCAATTGAGTAGAGCACAATGAACAAGTTTTATCCCCTTCTAAAAACCGCAAACTTCCTGCGTGTTGGAGGTATTGGTCCTACCAAGGCCTCCCTTCCACTTTATTTGATGAGGCTTGCACCCTATTGTTTTACTCCCACTTTGGTACCTTTACCTTGGTATTTTATCTGATCAATAATATACCTGTTTGAGGGTTGACTTACCCACTTGGCTGGCCCCTTTGTGTTTTGTCCGCTGCATCCACCTTGTCTTGGCCTATACATGTGACTTTGCCTTGTCTTTGTAGCATGTGAGTGTTTGTTGTTTTGACCTCACCCGTGACTTCTCTTCTAGCTGGCAGCCTAGTATTTGTACTCCTTGCTTCTCCCTTTGTGAAGCAGCCTGCGAGAAACACTTCTAGAGAGCAGTGCTCTCCTTCTTCTCTTTCCCTTTGTGTGAGAATTGAGAGAGGGACTTAGTGGTGAGATAAAAACTTAGAGTTGTGCTAAAGCTTCCCCTAGAGTGGTTTATGTGAGTAGAGTATGTAGAAAGACCTGAGCCGGAGACGGAAACGATCCTTACAGTGGTATCAGAGACAGAACCGCCGTCTGCCGCCGTCCGCCGCCGCCGACAGCCACCGCCGTCGATTGGAGCTCGCCGAAGGTCTTGGAGCTGCCTGGTCATTCTCACAAGCTCGCCTATTTCCTTGTTCGCTGAAATCGACGGAAGCTCGCCGCCGAAAACCGCCATAGCCAGAAGTTCGCCACCACCGGCCGCCTGCCATCGTTCGCCCGTCGAGGTCACCGCCTGCTACTTTTGTGGTTCGCACAAAGCCCAGAGCTCGTCCTTCGCGGGTCTCAGAAGGCTGAGACGAAGCAGCGAGAACAGATCGCAGAAAGCAGGACGCGGGTCCTGTTCATTCGCGCAGGGGAGGAAGGACGAAGAAGTACTTCGTTATTTTCTTTGGAACCGCTGGATTGCTGGTCTGATTCTGATATCGGTTTGGGCCCTCTGCTGACTGGAAGCTTGGAGGCTGGACTGGGACTGTTGGGCCTCTAAACCTGGGCCGGATTTGGACTCCTGGAGCTGGTTGCTGGTTTGGGCTGACTGGAGCTGGGAGCTGGACTGTTGCTTTGTTCAGGCTACTGCTGGGCTGGAGCGGGTCGCTGACCTGGGCTGGAGTTGCTGGACGCCAGTCAACCGCCGCCGGTCAACGCCGGTCAACGTCGGTCAACGCCGGTCAACGGCAGTCAACCCCTCCAGAAAAATCCCAATTTTTAAAATTGGGTAGGTAAGGTCGAAACGCTCTCCTAGGGTTTCGCGAAGGTAAGTTTTCGATAAACTTCCTATTTGTTATATTCCGGTTTTAATTTAATTTAATTTAATTTATTCCCCCTCCCCGCAAGCCGCCGGTTGATTTAATCCCGGCCGCCAACCCCCCAGGTACGTTCTAAACCTTCTCCTTTGTGGTAGACTGTTTTAGTGTGTTAATTAAATTGCTAAATGTTATTTAATTTAATTGTTATGCGTAGGGGTGGTTTATTGGGTGGTAGGGGTAGAATTAATTAATTTTAATTTTCTGCCCGGAATTGTTTAATTGCCAAAATGTCCATTTTTGCTATGTGTTGCATGCTGCCCGAGGTGATTAAAGTGATTACTTTATAGCCCGTGTTGGATTATTTTCTGTCATTTCTATCTGTTTAGCTTTGTGTTCCTTTTGTGGTTGATACCATGGCTGCGAATCGGTATGGTATGCTTCCATTTAATGGAAAAACAGATTTTGATATTTGGAAACAGAAAATTAAGTGTGTTTTAATACAGCAAAAAGTTTTCAGAGCTGTCACTGGTATTTTTCTTGAATCAGAAGATAAGGCTAAGCAAATTGAAATGAACGAAACTGCTTGTTCTACTATTTACTTGAATCTGTCTGATTCTGTGCTTAGGAAAGTAGGTATTCTTGAGTCCGCTAAGGAGTTGTGGGAGAAATTGGATAGTCTCTATACTGATATCTCTTTGCCCGGGAAGTTGTTCTTACTAGAGAAATTCTTTAGGTTTAGGCTTGACCTGACTAAGGATATACATGAGAACCTGGATGTGTTTAATAAACTGATACAGAATATCAAACAGGCAGGTGATAAACACATAGACGATTATACTCCCATAGTTTTACTTAATGCCATTCCCGACTCTTATAATGATGTTAAGTCCGCTATTAAGTATGGTAGGGATGAGATTTCAGTAGACATTGTTGTTAATGGGTTAAGGAGTAAGGAATTAGACCTGAAGCATGCTAGGGGCCGGGTAGTGCTAGTCAGTCCAGGGACTCCGGTGAGGCTATGTTTGTTAGAGGTAGATCTAAGGGTAGGTCTAAGAATCCTAAGCAAAATAGTCAGGGTAAGAACACTAGTTAGCCTGGGAGGAAGAGGAGTAAATCTAGGAAGAGAGTGTGTTACAATTGTGGTAACACTGGCCATTTCATTAAGGATTGCCCCCACCCTAAGAAGACCGAGCATGCTAGTGTAGCTGTTGATAAATGTGACCTTGGTGATATTTTGATGGTTTGTGATCATGTTAATTCTGTGAGAAATTCCCTGTCTGAGCATGAATGGTTGATTGACTCTGGTTGTACCTATCACATGTCCCCCTTTAGAGATTTGTTTTCTACTTATGAATTATGTGATAGTGGCTACGTTTCCTTAGCTGATAATAAGAGATGCAATGTGCTTGGTGTTGGTGATATTTGTCTGAAATTTTCTTGTGGCTCTGTGTTTACCATTAAGAATGTGAGGCATGTCCCTGATTTGTGTCATAACTTGTTATCTGTTGCTGCTTTGGAGAGTAGTGGGTTACAGGGAAAATGGGGGAATGGTTGTATGAAAATCCTGAAGAACTCGCTTGTTTTGTTTAAAGCTGAGAAGGTGAATAACCTTTATGTGTGTCATGCTAAACCTTTTGCTGAGTCTGTGAATGTTGTATGTTCTGATAAGACCTCTTTGTGGCATAATAGGCTAGGACATATGAGCAATAAGGGTTTAGATGTCATGCGTATGGCTGGTTATTTTGGTAGGGACTCTGTGACTTCTGTGCCTTTCTGTGAATCATGTGTGTTAGGCAAGCAGCATAGAGTCAGCTTCCCTCCTTCCTCTTACCCTAATCTGTCTAAGTGTTCGTCTGTGCTTGAATATGTTCATGCCGATGTTTGGGGTCCTGCCAGTGTTCCTACCCACGGGGGTAGGAAATACTTCCTTTCTATCATTGATGATTTCTCTAGGAAGGTGTGGGTTTGCCTTTTAGAACACAAGTCTGATGTGTTTGTAAGGTTTAGGAAGTGGAAAACCCTAGTTGAAAACCAAACTGGCAGGAAGGTTAAAACCCTTAGGACCGATAACGGGTTAGAGTTCTGTAATAAGGAGATGGATAAGTTGTGTGTGGATTGTGGGATAAAAAGGCACAAAACTGTGCCTTATACTCCCCAACAGAATGGGATAGCAGAGAGAATGAATAGGTCTCTGTTGGATAAGGTTAGAAGCATGTTAGCTACCTCTGG